GTTCTTTAACATTGGAGGAAGGGAAACTGTGGTGGTGGGGGTGGGGAAAAATGCCTCATTTTTTTTGGTTTTAGGGAGGAATGTAAACCCATTGTTTGGTGTCGGGTGGGGGGAAATTTGTGCCCCAACATTTTTATAAATGGGAGGAATTTTTTTCCCATTTTTTGGTTTTAAAGGGGAAAGGGGAATAGTGCCCCTTGTTAGTGCCCAGTGGGAAAAATGGGTTCCCCCCCTTTTTTTGGTCAGGGGGGGAGGAAGCTTTCCCCCCAAATTAGTGTAAAATTGGAAAGAATGTGCCCCTTCTTTTGGGTTTTAAAAAATGCAAGGTTTTGTGCCCCTTTCATTGGTTTAGGGGAAAAAATTTATTTCCCCATTTTTTGGTTTCAGAAAAGAAAATAGGGGCCCCATAAAGGTTTTAGTGCGGGAAAATAGTGCCCCATAATTGGGTTTAGTCCCTAAAAAAATTATGCCCCTTTCATTGGTAGTAGTGGGGGAAAAAGGCTCCCCCCCTTTGGGTTTTATGAGTGAGAGGAAAAAGTGCCCCAATCATTGGTATTTGGGGGGAAAAAATTATTTCCCCCATTTTTGGGTTTAAATTTAGGAGAAATAGGGGCCCCATCATTGACTTTAGTGCTGGGAAATTTCCCCCTTTCATTGGTTTTTGTGGGGGAATAGGGGCCCCAAAAATTGGTTTCAGTGCTGGGAATTTAGTGCCCCACCCTTTGGGTCCCAAGTGAGGGGGGATAGTCCCCCCATCATTGGTATTAGGGGGAAAAAAAATTAGGGGCCCCATTGTTTTTTTGCAGTAGGAGAAATTTTCCCCCCATAAATTGATTTTTGTGCTAGGAATAGTGCCCCAAAATTTGGGGTTTTAAATTTTGCTGGGGAATAGTGCCCCATCTTTTTGGTATTAGTGGGGGAAATTTGTGTCTCATTGTAGGTTTCAGTAGGGAGAGAATAGTGCCATCAGACTGTGTCTGTGGAAGAATAATGGACTGTGTTGGAGTCAGTAGAACTCGAATGAGTTCTGTCAGATCCTTCAATCTCCAAATTCCTTTTTATTTTTTTTTTTTGCAGCTGTTGTCAATTGCTTCTTGTTGGTGGGTGGTTCTGTGGTCCACGGTGTGTCGGACCAATCGCGACATTCTCTTGTTGAGCCCGATGAATAGGGACTATGGGATTTGTAGTGTGAATAGTGCAGTGCCTGCTGACCGCACCATGCAACTGCTTGATAACAAACAAACACAGAAGTGCGAGAGAAAAAGGAGAGGTTCATGGAGCCAGAAAACTTAAATAACCATAGTATATAAAAATTTAATTCGATGAAAGTTATATTACCACAGACATTATTTCTTCTGACTAGAAGATGATGTTTAGTGATCAGATAATAGTGCCGTCAATTACAAGATTTCTTGCCTTCTCACAGAGGTTTTTCTCTTGGGCATTTATAGGCTTTGGATCGGACGTCTTACACTCGCGCAGCCCAAGTTAAGGTAAGACTTGTAAGACACTGTTTAGTACACACAAGATTTACTAATTTTTTGGCGGGTTCATGAGTTGTTTCCTGATAGCTGTAAGGTTGCTTAGAAGAGAGGGTTCTGGAGCACTCCAACCAGTGTCTAAATGTATACACGTCATGGGTTGGTGCAGTGTTGGCAGTGGAAATGTTATCTGCCCGTTTTCAGTACCTTAGCCTGCCCTATTGCTTTTTTGGCATTCTCTGGCAAGGAAATCATGCTGCAGGCAGCAGAAGGATCGTTCCATAAAAAAAAAAATTGTTTGGGCTCTTGTGTTGGCATGTAGGAGGAGCAATCACCAGTACATTGGGCCAGCTAGGTTAGTTGTGATAAAGTTTGCCCATCCTTAGGAACTAGAACAGTGCATGGAGAAGATGGCTCTGTGTCAGGCAATTATTGCTTGTTTGAGAACAAATAATGTAAAGGCAGCTTGGATGGGAAAGTCGGAAGAATTAGTAAGAATACGAGGGCTTGTCAATATTTTGGCTGCTTTTGCTTATGAATAATTATAAAATGCTTCCAGTGTTAAATCTCTCCTATATTTATGGGTGTCACTCAAAGAAATCCTATCCTTTGCAGGACTCAATTAAATCTAAGCTCATGTGTGACTCATAGATGAGTGGGGTGACGAGCTCTCGTACTAGTCTGTACTTGTGTTACACACCTTCGGTCTTCCTCTTGGCTGGAATTGTCCCCCCCCCCTCACCCCCCCCGAGGTTGAGCGATGTAAATATGGATTGGTAGTTTAGCTGTAATACTCTACACCAGTTAAAAATCACCTTACAAATGAAAACAACATGAAAATGGTATGAGGCACATATGTGTCTAGCACCACCATCTACGTGACCCATGTTGGGCGCAGCGGCAGTTCGGTGAGATTGCAACACACAGGAGCGTGACTTGTGATCAGGTGCTGTCCCCACTTGGGCAGGGCTCCCAGGGATGACCAGAGATGTTTTGACTGCGCAGGGAAAAAGCCAGGGCCTTTTTGTTTTGGGGTAAACAATATAAAATTTTTTAACACTAACAATACAAACATAAAAAGCAGTGCAAATACTAAACATAATACAGTGCAAACAAAAAACCCAAACCCAAACCCCCAAAAGATAACATTTCATACCCAAACAAGCGTCGTCAGGTGGGCCGAGCAAATCAATTTTGGGGAAAGGGAGGTAAAGGGGGAGCAAGGGAGAATGGTCGGGGTCAAAAAGGCCAGGTTTACAGGTAGGGAAGCCGCGTTGTTCAGAGGGGCCCGGCAGAGGGATGGTCAGGGTCACAAGCCAGGATCAGAAAAAAAGGGAGAAAACACGTAGTAAAAAGGGTTTCCCCCGGAAGGGAGGTCAGGGTCACAAGCCAGGGGTCAGAAAAAAGGGAGCAAGGGAAAAGAAACAAGGGGCCCCGGACAGTACAGGGGGGGAGGACAAAACACAACACACGGGAGTTGTGGGTATGGATCCCTTAAATTACCCAGATACTCAGTTCCGGTGTTAGTGGCTGCCAAAGTTGAAGTCTTGATTGCTGGGAGCACCGCTGGGCAGCCCTGGTAAAGAGAAAAAAGGCAGGTGCGTCACAATTGCTGGCCAGTCCATTCTGACAGTACCCCCCTCAAGGATGCGGGCCTCAGGCCGTCACAAACAGTTAGTGGGAAAAATGTTCCACGCCGGGTCAGGTAATGGGGGGATATCAAAGGACTTTGGCACCCTGGCAGGACTCGGGAGCGGTTACCCAGCGAGGCAAAGGGCTGGAAACGGGAGAGGACCTTGGGTGGACGCGGGCAGAAGCACCTCGGGGCAGAGGCACACGGGTTGGCTCCGGGCCAGAGGTCACCCGGGCGAGGGCCACATCGGGGAGAGGCTCATCGGGCTGGACTCCGGGGCTGAGCGGCAACATCGGGCTGGACTCCGGGCCGAGGGCACATAGGTCTCGGGCACTCCGGGTCAGAGGCACATCGGGCTGGGACTACGGGCAGTGGCACTTCGGGCTGGACTCCGGGCTGAGTGCAAAACGGATAGTTACCAGGCGAAGAGTACAGAGGCAGCGGGTGTCACCGGACGGCGAAGCTAGCCGGGCAACGGGGCCCCCGTGGCGGTAGCAGCAGGGCACCGGGCCCTCAGGGCGGAGGCAGAGAGCAGGCACCGGGGCCCCGGGCGGTTGCTAGCAGGGACCGAGGCCCCCAGGTGGGAGCGGCGTGGCGCCGGGCACCCGGAGGGGCGACAGGCATCGAGCCCCCTGGCTGGGCGGACAGGCATCGGGCCAGTAAATAGAGGCGGACAGGCAATCGGGGCCCAGGCGGCGGCGACAGGCATGGGCCCCCAGGCGGGGCGCAGGAATCGGGCCCAGGAGGGTATTTTCAGGGGGCGACGGCCATCCGGGGCCCCAGGCGGTAGAGCGGCGGGTGCCGGGCCCAGGTGGGGCGAACAGGCATCGGGGGCACCTCAGCGGTGAGCGTACCGGCATCGGGGACCCCCAGGCTGGGCGACTAGGCATCAGGCCCAGGCCATCGGGCCCCCAGCGGGGCGACGATCGTCACAGGCGGGGCGATCGGGCCCCCAGGTGGTTGCGACAGGTCTCGGGCCCCACAGGCGGAGAAAAAGCGGCGGGCGCCGGACCCCAGGAGGTGTTTGACAGGCAGTCCCCCAGGCGGCACAGGTCACGGGACCTTCAGGCGGAGCGGCGGGGGCGACGGACCCCCCTAGGTGGAGCGTCAGGTCTACGGGCCCTCAGGCGGAGCGGGCGGGGGTGCCGGACCCCCATGGGGGAGCGACAGGTCTCGGGCCCCCTAGGCGGGGTAGGGCGGCGCCGGAGCGAGCAGGTCTCGGGGGCTCAGGCGGCGCGGCGGGCGCCGGACCCCCAGGCGGAGCGACAGGGTCTCGGGCCCCCAGGCGAGAGCGACAGGTCTCGGGAGGCCAGCTCAGGGCGGAGCTGGCGGAGCGACGCGGGCCCCCAGCTGGAGCCGACAGGTCTTGGGCCCTCAGGCGGGCGACAGTCGGCGGGGACGTCGGGCGCCGGTTCCCCAGGTGGAGTGACAGGTCTCGGGGCCCCCAGGCGGAGCGGACAGGTCTCGGGGCCCTCAGGCGACGCGGCGGAGCGGGCGCCGGGACCCCCAGGTGGAGCGACAGGTCTCGGGCCCCCAGGCGGAGCGACAGGTCTCGGGCCCCACAGGCGGATGTAGCGGCGGGCGCCGGACCCCCACAGGTGGAGAGCGACAGGTCTCGGGCCCTCAAGCGGAGCGGCGGGCGCCCGGTCCCCCAGGATGGAGCGACAGGTCTCGGGCCCCCAGGCGGAGAGCGACAGGTCTCGGTCCCTCAGGCGGAGCGGGGGCAGGCGCCGGACCCCCAGGTGGAGCGACAGGTCTCGGGCCAATTCAGGCAGAGCGGCCGGGCGCCGAGTCATCTGGCACGACAAGTGGGCTCCGAGTCAACTGGCATGACCGCTGGCACGGGTCAGACATTGGATCGTCTGGCTGGACAGAGGGCATCGGGTCACCGGCATCAGGTCATTTGGCTCGACGTCGCGGCCACGCATCATCTGGCAAGGCAGTGGGCTCCCGAGTCAACTGGTATAGGGACCGCGGGCACTGGGTCAGACATTGGATCGTCTGATGGACAGCGGGCATCGGGGGAGTTGAGGGCATGGGTCACCAGGCATCAGGTCATTTGCGCTCAACTAGCGGGCCACCCGCGTCATCCCTGGCAAGGCAGTGGGCTCCGAATCAACACAGGCACGACAGTGGGCAACCGGGTCATCAGGTACGGAATTGTTGGCTCGACTGCGGGCCTACTTTTTTTTATTTTTTTTTTTTTTTTTTTTTTTTTTTATATTATTATTTTTTTTGGGTCACCAGCATCAGGTCATTTGGCTTGCCACACGGGCACCGCGTTCATCTGGCAAGGCAGTGGCACCGGGTCACAGGCATTGGATCGTCTGGCTCGACAGCGGGCATCCCCCCCCCCCGTGTCACCAGGTATGACAGCGAGCACTGGCGGGTCACCCAGGCATCAGGCATCTGGATCAACAGCGGGCATCGAGTCAACTGGCCTAATAGGATCATCAGGCTGGATCAGTTCATCATGCTGGGTAGAGGCATCAGGCTGAATGCCGGCGTCCGGCTGAGTAGAGGCTTCAGGCCGAGTAGAGGCTTCTGGCCGTGTAGAGGCTTCAGGCCGAGTAGAGGCTTCAGGCCGAGTAGAGGCTTCAGGCTGAACCACGGAAGGCAGGTTCACCAGTTTGGATACTGGCAGGATGGTATTGGTTGGAAAGAATTTTCGCTTTTTTCTGGTTTTAACTACTGGAGCACTGCAAGTAAACGCAGGTCTGCAAACGAATGGAGCAGCTGGAGACAGAGAAGAACTGGAGGATGGAACAGGAGAGGGAGCAGTTGCTACAGAGGGCTTTTTTACAGGGTTAAAGGCAGGATAGGTGCAGCGAGTGGGAACAGGGTACTGACATGCGGTAGATAGCCAAGTATACTGGGCTGTAACTGGAGGAGCTGTTGGGAATACAGGAGAAGAGTTAGAAGCAGGACTGGGTTTTTGTAAGCTGACTGAGGCTGGGTGCAACAAATCTGTCCATGTCTGCAGTAGGGGTTGAACAAAGCTGAGCTTACACAAAGCCTGTCTGGTCAATGACTGCACTGCGTTTATACAAACTCTTAGTGTCTGTGGTGAACATGTGGAATAACGCTCCAGAAAGTAACCCACATCATCCTCTAATAACCACACCAGGGACTCTACCTGGTCTGCACTAAATGGTGGCAAAAATTCATCCCTGCATTCGGGGGAACCAGATGAAACCAACTCTGCACAAACCTCAATCAAAGGCTGCACCTCAGAGAACTCTGTGCCCTGATCTACTAGAACATGAGCGAGCCGTATACATTCTAGCAGTTCATCCCGGGGATACTCCTTCAGAGTTTGATAAGCATACTCCCTGTCATCAAACACTAGCAGAGATAAATACTCAACCTCATCCAGATCCATCCTTCCCATCAACAAACCAAGATGGCTTCCCTGTGCAGCCACTTCTGGTCAGGATTGGCCTTGGTGTAATGTCAGGGCTCCCAGGTATGACCAGAGATGTGTGACTGACGCAGGGAAACGCAGACTTCAGATATGGGATAAACAATATAATTTTATTAACACTAACAATACAAACATAAACGCAGTGCAATACTAAACATAATACAGTGCAAACAAACCCAACCAACCACCCACAGATAACAGTACATACAAGCAAGCGTCGTCAGGCAGGCCGAGTCAATATCAATTGGGCAGGTAGGTACAGGGGGAGCAAGCGGAGAATGGTCGGGGTCACAGGCCAGGTTCAGCAGGTAGCAAGCAGCGTAGTACAGAGGGTCAGGCAGAGGGATGGTCAGGGTCACAAGCCAGGGATCAGAACAGGTAGCAAGAAGCGTAGTACAGAGGGTCAGGCAGAGGGATGGTCAGGGTCACAAGCCAGGGATCAGAACAGGTAGCAAAGGAACAGAAACAGGATGCAGGACAGATACAGGGCCCAGGACAAACACAACACCAAGGCCGAGTCTGTGGGTTTGGCCATCCCTTAAATACCCCAGCATAATCAGTTCCAGGTGTTAGCTGGCTGCAAAGTTGAGTCTCTGATTGCTGGGAGCACCCGCTGGCCAGCCCTGGTACTGCAGATCAAAAGGCAGGTGAGTCCCACCATTGCTGGCCAGTCCATTCCTGACACCTACTAATGGTTAGCTGACAGCTAGCTAACAAAATGATAGAAGCAGCATTGTGTTTCATTCCAAAACTGAATTTACTTCTGTGAACAGTCCTGTAAAACTTCAATAACATCACATAAACTAAAGTTACAATATGCTTGTAAACTTGCCTCTCACAAATGCCTACAGTGAACACATTTCTTACAAACAGGCTTACTACAAATCACATTGAATACATTGAAGTGCGATCTAGCTATGTATGTGACTTTAACAAACACGATGAAAGAACTTACAGGCATATGTGCATCAAAGGGAGAACGGAGAAGACCTTCACTGGTGGTCTTCTAGAAGCTGAAAAGACTGCAGTGGTTTATGGGATATCTTTATTCTTAACAAGCTTGAGACACGTCTTGTTCTTATTGAAGGGAGTAATAAACAGGTGCAGTTGCAGTGAACATCCAATAGATGGCTCCCTATTCAACACAATAATGATATACAGAACACTCCCTGCCTGGCATAAATATATACCATTACTGTATATCTTTGAATTACTGTAATGTTTAACTAGGTAACTCTCTATTCTGGAAAAGGACTACTAAATCTGAGACAAGTCAGAGGTATACTTTAGCAATCCCTGCTGAGCATAGTGCACCTTTGGTAAAAATGACGGTGTCTGACTAAGAGGATGGCTATGTGATGTTTGGCTGGAATTACAAAAGGATGTTTCTCATTCTCGGCCATGTTTGCAATTTAGAGACGCCCACTTACTCTGATTATTCTGTTGTTATCCATTATTGGATTCAAACATGATTAAGCTTTAATCTGTGATTTTGTTCTTCCTTCAGTGAGACTTTATCTCTTCTAAAAACATCTCTTGTTGGACACATTTGATAATGGACTTTTTTGCTTGCAAGAAATCTGAAGGATGGCATAACTTTTTGCAACAATGCCATCCTTTACATATATCTTTCTGAGTTTTGCTGGAAAAGGATTTATTGATGTGAATAAGTGTTGCTATAATATGTAATGGATCCTCCTGCGCTGCTATGTCTACTGAGACTTGTGAAACAGCAGCTTACATCCAATCCTCACCTTTGGATGGAATAATAAAAACTGATATAATAGTGATGTAGCGCTGTAGTTGCTATTATGTCCCTTTTATAATATCAAGTAGTCGACTATACTTATAATTGTGACATTTAGAAGTGATGAGTGCAATATAAATTAAACCATATACATATCCAGGTGATCATTCCATCATTGCTGTGACACACAGTGATTCCCTATACAGGGATATGCATCACCTTAAACAGGTGATCTATATAAATAATGGTGATGTAACTGTCCACAATATCCGGTGTATAACTTGTGTCTCAACAACACACACAAACAATGTCAGACAACATGCTCCTGTGCAGGTGGTGAGTATTGCTCCTATATCTTCTAGATTGTAAGCTCGAAAGAGCAGGGCCCTCGATCCCCTCATGTTTTGCATTGTATTGGTATTGTTCTGTCACATGTTCTGTCCCCCTTGTAATGTACAGCGCTGAGTGAACTATTGGCGCTTTATAAATACTGTATAATAATAATAATAATAATATGGCAGGCATGCCTGCTCACCTTCCCCCTGCGACCCACAGGGGCCAAAAAGCCTTGCGGATCACCCTGGATCCTACACGATCTCTCCAAGTATGGATTAACTCCACAAACTTCAATGAGCTTTTCCACCACCTTCCGCTGTTCCTCCTTGGTCAGGTAGCAGTATGAATACTCATATACATTCATGATGTTAGGGACTCATACAAAAGAAAAGCAGAAAATCTTCCATAGTGCAATACTGCATGTAAAAGCTTTAATAGAAGAAAAACGCCAAGTATGCACTCACATTTAGCAGAAGTACAAATCGCCTGTGTCACCTCACATGGGTGTACTGAGATGGTGCTGGACCGGAAGTACACCTGATGAAACTATGAGGGGCGTGGCGTAACGCGTAAACGTGACGTGGTGACGTGTGACGTACTTCCGGTCCAGCGCCATCTTAGTACACCAGAGAGTCCTCAATACACCCATGTGAGGTGAGGTGACCATTACTGTCTGTGACCTTGAGATACTCTACAGCTGCTATCGCCACAGTAGAAGCATCAGAAAAGACACGTACTCCTCTTCGCACTGTAGATGTTAGTGATGCTGGCACATAGGGTCTGGGAATACTGAGATCTTCAAGATGAATCAAGTTTTCTGCCCATGTTCCACACTGAGTTTCTCTTTCTGGTGAGAGAGGGGAGTCCCAGTCACATTGACCTATTGAGAGCTCTCTAACTAAGGTTTTTTATTGATAGTGATCAGGGCTGCAAACCAGAGTGGGTCATAAAGACTGTTTACTGTGGCTATGGTACCTCTCCATGTGTAAAGCTTCATCTCTCTGGACATTTGAAAGGTAAAACTGTTTGTCTGGAGATTCCAACTTGCTCCTAAACTCCATTGAAGGGGCAGAGGATCGACACCTAGAATGAGGTCTTTTAACTCTTTAGCTCTGTCATTTGCAGGAAACTCTTTCATTACTGAGCTTCTACTGGATGCAACTTTGTATAGTTTAAGATTAAATCCTGCAAGCATCTCCGTAGCTCTCTACAGGAGACTGACCACTTCAGTAGGCACAGATGTAAGTCTGTCATCTCTGTAGAAACTTCTTAAGATGAACTGTTTTACATCTTCTCCATACTCACTCGCTTCCTGCTTAGCTATTTGTCTTAGACCATAAATGGCTATGGAAGGCGAAGGACTATTTCCAAAAACCATGTGCTTTCATCCTGAACTCTGTAATTTTTTTGTTCAAGTCATTATCTTGAAACCAAAGAAACATCAAGTAGTTGTGGTGATCTTCTGTAACCACAAAACAGTAAAACATTTGCTGCACATCAGTAGTAACTGAAACGTATAAGGACACCTCGCAGTGTATTTTTCAAATCAGTCCCACTAAGAAGTACATCATTCAATGATATGTCATCATACTGAGCACTAGTATCAAAAACTACTCTGATCTGCTCTATTGTTTGAGGGTGATAGACGCCAAAGAGTGGTAGGTACCAATCCTCTTCACCTGGTTTCAGTGATGGGACTGCATGGTCATGGTCAAAGATCTTTTGCATAAAGTTAACAAAATGTTCTTTCAGTTCAGGTGTTCTTGGAAAAGAGTACTGTAGAACAAGGAGTCTCTTCAGTGCTTGCTCCTTCTGGTTTGGTAGTCTAGGGCGTGGTGAGCGAAAAGTTAAGGTTGTTAAGGGTGCTACCCAGTGGTTTGCTTAGTCTACAAACATCTTCTTTTCAACTACATCAATGGACATAGCAGGTCTTTCATTATTTGGAGTTCTAGTGAACACATTGTCAGCTAAATTGTCCATACTATGAGCTGTGGTCCTTGAATGGCATAATGAGGGATTGCCTGGCTGTAGTTCGCAAGCATCAAAGGTTTCTTTTACTAGCATATAGCTGGTGCATGGGCTGAATAGAGAAGGGCAC